GAAGACTCTTCTTTACAAAAATCCTCTGAATCCTCTTGTGTGGGGCGTTTACCCACCACCCCCACAGCTTCCCAGAGTTTTCTTGAGTGCGTGCAGTAGGAAATATTAGGTAGAAGGATTTATAGCGGAGAATCTTGCGGAGATAAACAGATAGAAAATAAAGGATAGCCTCGAGAGGGCCTGGAACCTATTCCAATGGGCCCGGACTGTCTCTGGTCCAGGGTTTTTATAGAGACACCAAGGGGTGGAGCAAAAGACCTCCTCCCCCAACACAGCCAAGTGCAGGCCATCTCAGACACCTGCACTCAGGCCCGTGGTCCTGATCATCCTCTATTCGGACCTGCTGGGTAAAGCCACGAGGAACCCCAGAACGGGCTCCCACACTCTTGGAAGGGAGGAGATCTACATTTTCACTGGAGTAGAGACTGGGGAGGGCCTTCCATCCCATGGTACTTGGAAGCTGATGAAATTCATTCAAGGTGAAATCATCTCAGCTTCTTATTTAGTAAGTGAACAAATGGGTCTGTTGTATCTTAAAGACTTCCCTGGTGAGTTTCCAGACTGTTCCTCTTTCACATATAACAACTGTAAGTATCTATGGCTATTAGATACAGTCACACACTTGACACTACTCAAGTCCAGAATCTTTTCATCTGGTTCATTGGCGAACATTGTTTGGGGCCAATGTCTTGGGAAGTCCCCGTGTTTAGTAGCACCCATATCTACGTGAACTTCCCCTTACCTAGGAACCATCTGGACTACCCCTGCTCCAGCACGTGTGTAACTGCTTACTCTAGTAACATATGGCAGTGGAGCTAGAAGGCTACATGTGGTTATTCACATGCTCCTTCTATTGATGGACTTCCGAGGACAGGCAGCATGTCCTGGAGAGTTACCGTCCTCTGCAGATAAGCAGTGGGTGTCTCTGACAAAGGCTGAAAACTGAAGATGAAGCTGACCAGCTCGATGGGCACTACAGCAAGCAAGTCAGACAGCAGGATGCCTTGTCTCCCGCTTTAGCTGGGACATTGTTTCAGTGAACTGAAGCGTTGGAAATCCTCTGCACCTCTCTTTGGCCCTCCCTGCTTGGCCTCTGCCTTCCATTCCTACTCCCTTCTCTTCCATCCTTGTCCCAGGTTAGAGTTCTTTTTGCCATCCATTTAAGTATCCAGTACGCACTTGACACTGTAGGACTCTGGGCACAGGGACGTCTCCAACAACCCAGGTTATCAGCATTATTAAGCTGTCGTGGGTCTTGACTTTATCCTTACATTTCCTTTGTACCTTTCATCAGATGTTTATCTGGCAACTACTCCTAAGAGCTTGTCGTGGCTCAGAGAAAAGATAGCAGTGCTAGCCAGCTCCTGTTTTTACATGGTCTCAGGGGCCCAGCAGAGGGCGTCCTAGTGCATAGAATAGAAGAAGCTCCTGCCTCCTAAAGGTGAGGGCTGCCCCTTCAGGGTATTGAGAAGTCACAGCCATCTGTACCTTGTCACCTGGAGAGCTGTTGCTACAGGTTTGGGATAGGAAAGGGGGATTCCTTTGTGGAAAATGAAGACAGGGATTAGAGTGTTGGCTCTGCTACTTGCTGGAATCTGGATTTGGCTAGACCTTTGGTTGATCAAGAGATCCTATATCCCTAGGCCCCCACAGGGTCTGCTTATCTTCTGTCATGTACATGGCTTACTGCATTACAAGAATGATATGTTTGTGTTTTTGCCCCCAAATCTTCCCACCCCATCACAGATTGAGCATTCCAATGGCTAGAGATGTGTGTTCATTTTACAATCCCCAGGGCTCAATGCAGGGACCTTAAAGACCATGTAAAGGGTTAGAAATGATTATAGTAGGAAAGACTCTCACATCACAGTCCTTCATCGCACTCTATTCTGTATTTGAATTCTCCTTCCATCCATTGGATGCCATTCAGCCAGAATGGAAGAGCAGGGTTGAGATCAGAAGCCTATGACTCTAGCTCTAAGGTTTGAGCTGTCAGAAGCAAAACTTCTGACTGAGGTTCTTAAATCTGAGTGAGCATCTGAAAATCAGGGGAGGGCTGACTTTAACACAGGTGACTGCCTCTCAAGTCTTGTACCTCTCACAGGTTCTTGCGGTCTGGGAACCTGTCTTTCTGAGTTTGTAGGGATGCTATGATTGCCTGTACCAGGCCTAGCCTCCAGATATCGTTGCAGGAGATATCACCCTTATCCTGGATGTGGTGGGATAACTAGGAGTGCAATGCCCATGTTCCTCCTTGATAGGGAATTCTCAGCAGGAAGAGATTTAGTGATGCTTAGGAACAGAAAACAAAAACAAAACAAAAAACACATGTCACTTGGTGTCTACAGGGCATTGGTTTCAGCCCCTTATCTTCATGAGTCCCAAAATCTAATAGGGCGCTCAAATCTCCTTTAACAAATACTTTCATATTTGTGTCAAACCTGTGCATTACTCCTGTAGACTTTAACTCTGTCTTGATTACTTATAATAACTAATACAATATAGATGTGAAGCAAATGGCTGATAGCATGACTTAGGGAATAAGAACAAGGAAACTCAGCTCATGCTCAGTGCAGAATGTTTCTGACCTATGGCTGGTTGAAACCATAGATGAGTGCCACAAATAGAGTAGACCAGCTGTGTGATGATCATTAGAGTCCAGGGGTAACAGTGGATTTTAAGTTCAATTCTGATTCAAATCTAGCTATCCTGACTTACTATTTCTGCGATGATGACCACAGTGGGCCACCTCCTTAGACTTTTTTTTTAATAATGAATCCTTAGTCCTATGATAAATTTATTATAGGACTAAAGATAACTGTTTCAGATCAAACCTGTGAATGTTGTATTTACACACCCTTCTTGGGGTATCTGGTGCATGCTAGTGCCCAATACTGACTGAGTGTGGCACTCACCAGTGTTTCTGCTTCTGTGTTCACAGGAAATTGCACACAAGAGAAATGGTTGCTGGCAATGTAGCCAGGCAAATACCTTGAAAGGCTGCAGGATTCTGTTATCTTAGTATTGTAGGCAGATTATGGATGTGGGAATGGTCTGCATAGCCTGGATCATACCATTCATGTGTGCCCTAGTATCAGGCTTGGCAATGCACCTTACCAAGAACTTGGTGGATGCTTGAGATGGAGAGTTAATACCCATGCTTAACATGTGAAAGCAGCAAGAATTGAGCACAATTGATGTTTTCTATCTCATTAATAAAGATGGCTCTGCAGTTTATCATGTTACAACTAGCTGGGTAGCCCCAGGGAACTTTTTTAGTTTTCTCACTCTTGAATGGGAGACTGAGGATATGATTGGCAGAGTTCAGAGCTACTTAATAAGCTCTTAAGGTGCAGCCTAGCATATATTGAGTAGTCAAAAATTATTTATTGAGAATCTACTATGGTCCAGGAATGGTACAGAGACCATTGATTCACTCTCTAAATACACACTGTCTTGAGTGCAGGGGATTCAGCTATAAAGAAGAACCAACTTTTTCCAAATAACATTTCTAAAGTCCTCAGCTGGAGAGAGCTACTGGAAGCCACACCATCAGTTAGCAGGTTGGCTGAGATTTCAGCTCAGGCCCGAAGGATTCGATATGTACAGTGACACTACCCATCGGCAGCATCCCCCTCCTCCATTGCTCAATGCCAGTGATTGTCGTTTTATGGGAAATGAACATATTGGTTTAACAGATACTAAAGCAAGAGAGTGGACCGAAATATGTCATTTTCAGACATTTTAATTTGATTTATATATCTCAAAAACTAATTTATATTCATATAATGCTTTCATTATAAAATATGCAGTGGTACAGAGATTTGTGTGAATATGGGAATTTAAAAAAAATTGGTTTATAAATGGCCTGGAACAGGTTGCAGAAGCATCATCAGTTGCTCTTTTTTAATATATCTTGAGCATGCTATGACACATCCTGAAATAATTTGCTTCTGAAAAAAAAAAAACACAAAAAAAACAACACCACTCTCCTCTCTGTCTTCCCCCCCCCAAATGTAACTGTAAATATTACTTTGATGTATGTAATTGCTTCAACCTTCTATCTTGGAAGGAAGGCTTCTAACCCTTCCATTTCTCATCTCTTGCTTTTGTCAAGAAATAAGAAAAACAGACTTAAAATGCATTATTCAAATGCGTGTAATGTAAACATTAAAGAAGTCTGAGCACAGCTACAAATTTCCCTTTTCTTAAAATGTTTGTGAAAAATAACTTGTCTATTCTGTCTTGAGGGCATTGGTTTGCTGTGCAGAGGGAGTTCACTTGCTCCAGCATGCCTTAGGATCTCAGAGATGTGGCAGAGTGGTACATGGTAGGGCCTGGAGAACACATGGAGAAGATTGGCGTGATCTAGGTGAGGGTGTCAGCACTTGATAGATAAGGAGGCCTTCGGTACTGCTGGGAAGAGAGACCACCTCCGGAGGACTTGGGCAAGTCACATGTTCCAAGCACCAGGTTTCAGTTTAGTGTCTACAACCCATTATCCCAGTGGGTGGACTGTAGAAGAGGCCCTGGCCAACACAGCTGTGCAGACCAGGGCCCCATCAGCCAAGGTGTGGTCATACACTAGCTGTCTGGCCAACCCACCTCAAGTCCTTTCTTCACTTGCATGAAGTAATCCAATGAGAATAACATTGTTTTTGTGTGTATGAGTCTGTGTGTATGTGTATGTGAGTTTATGTGCGTCTCTCTCTGTATATGTGTGTGTGTGCATGAGTCTGTGTATATTTGAGTCTCTCTGTATGTGAATGTGTGAGTCTGTGTGTGAATTTCTCTCTTTCTGTGAGTCTATGTGTGTTTCTCTTTGTGTGATGCTGTGTATGAATGTGTGTGTCTGTGTAATTCCGTGTGTGTGTGTGTGTGTGTGTGTGTGTGTGTGTGTGTGTGTGTATGTCTATTTCTGTGTATGTGTGGTAGTCAGTTTATCTGTTATGGAATTAAAACTTTCACTCCTCTAGTAATAAATAAGTAAACATTCTGACCTATTTTTCAGCAGAGAGAAGTTCTGGAATCTCAAATCATCGAATCCTTCTTTTGTTGTCCTTTTGTTGCCCCTGGGATGAGAGAAAATAGATTATATCTGGGAAACAGGAAGAGCTGGAGGAAAAAATTAATGAAGTGCATTCATTCATAGAAAGAGCCCCCCCCCCAGTCGGATTTGAGTAATTAATGCCTCACACATCTCTCTAATATTCTCTTTGCATTTCCACTGGGGCTAAAAACACGTTTAAAGAAACTTAATTACTTAAAACTGCTTTAGAGGTCAGGATTTGGGATGGAGGAAGTGCCCAGGTCAAGGTGGAGATGAGGCTGTCTCTCTCACATCGATGTCATGATCACAGTTGTCTTCTCCAAGCCCCATGAGTCCCTCCGCTCATCTAGAAAGAGAAGAGCATGGACCTCGGCTGTGAGCTTGACAGAAGGCTCATAAGTGACTGTGGGGACAGCGACTTCAGCCAGGCACACGTCTAGCTGCTTTACTGTGTCAGCTGAATTTGAGAAAAATCCAGAAAACTTCAGCCCACATAGCAAGGCAGACTATTTAGCAAGCACAGCTCTGATCCAAGTAATGTTTAGGCACTCTGTTACAGCATTTTCCACAAAGAGATTAAATGATTTTAAATTGAGTTAATTTGTTAAAATTCATTAAATACATTTACTATCATAAGCCTTCATTGTTATGCATCTTTAGCTCATCTAATTAGTTCGGTTCAGCATACTCTCTTTTTTTTTGCAGACATTCCCTAGGCTTTATCAAATGCTTCTGGGGATTTTTTTTTCCCTTGCACAATTGCTCGATGACAACTAGTTAGCTAATCTAACTTCACAACCCTCCTCTTCTGTCTGCCTGGGCTAACTTGTTTCTTGGCCCTTGAACACCTTCTACTCCCCGCCCCAAAGCCCTTTCTGAGATGTGCCTTGTCTTCCTGCTTCAGTTTCGATCTGCTTCTGTCAAGCATCCCATCCCCACCCTGACCTTGCAGGCTTCCTCCTTCGTGACTCCTGGCTGAGTTTTTATTTCACATTTCTATTTACTTATTTGTGTGTTCTCTCTCTCTCTCTCTCTCTCTCTCTCTCTCTCTCTCTCTCTCACACACACACACACACACACACACACACACACACAGAGAGAGGGAGAGGGAGAGGGAGAGGGAGAGAGGGAGAGGGAGAGAGAGAGAGAAAGAGAGAGAGGGGGGGGAGGGAGGGAGGGAGGGAGATGGTGCTTGCCAATACATGCATATGCATAGGCCAGATGTGGACATCAGTGTCTTTATTTACTGTGTTCATGTGCTTATCACACACATAGCATGTAGGTTGAGGTCAGAGGACAAACAACTTCAGGGAATTAATTTTTCTCCTTCTACCACGTGGCTTCTGGGGAGGTCAGATTTGGCATCAAACACCTACACCTGCTAAGCTACCTTGCCATTTCTACCAATCTCTTTTATGGGGGCGGGGCAGGATCTCTCATTACATGTGAAGCCCATCATTTCAGCTATACTGGTTGGCCAATGAGCTTCAGCTATCCATCTTTTTCTGCTCCTCCCAGTGATGAGGTTATGAGTGTGTGCAACCATTCCCTGCTCTGACATGCCTTCTGGGATTCCAAACTCAGGTCCTCAAACTTTACAGCAAACAGTTCATGCACCAAGCCATCTCTCCAGCCCCTTACTTTTGTGTTAATGTATAGTTTGACAGAACCACCAAGGCTCCATCTCCACCACCGCAGAGACTTGAAGATCTCTCTTCCTGGGCCTGGGTTTGTGCCTGACCTACAGTGGGCCTATGCGGGCATGTGGGAGTGCACACAGGACTTTGGGCCATTAGGACAGACCTGAGGATCACCTGAGGTTCCCTCCCCACCTGGCATTTTGTGTGTAGACCACAGGATACAACATGATCAGTACATCGTGAAGGGAAGGGATTGTCACTGTGGGACTTGATCCTCTAGTTCATGAATTTCAACTACCAGTTCTGATTCTTTTCCATTTATCTAAAAATGATTGTATGATTGCATTATCCCTTGTATCTTTTTTCATTATTATTTTTTGTTTCATTATTATTTTTCCTCTTGAGTAAAACTGATTCATAAATGTAATCCACACATTGGTGTTTCTTCTAAGTTCTGGACATGAATGAACAACTGTTTTCTAGATCTTTCTATTGGTATCCTCTGACTCATCCAGGCCTTCATTCTTGGGAGACTTTACTGTGCATAACTTAACTTTTAAATGATCATCCTGGGCACTGAGCATGGGTGTTCCCTCTACTCACTGCCATCTCACAGGCTGAGAGTGGAGAGTGGGTTCTAGGCGAGCAAGCTGGCTGGTGGCAGAGCAGGTGCTACAGGTCCAGTGATTAGCACATCCCATCTCTTGCCCAGGTGTTAGGTTGCTGCTGAGGAGGCCAGGATGAGCAGGCCAGCGGAGGCCAAAAACTGAGAGTGTACAGGAAGGGGGCTGAGGAAAGGAGAGTGGAGGATGGGGAGGAGGAGCTTTTTTGAAGGGAGTTAGTCAAGGCAGAGAGTAACAAGCTTGAAAAACAAATGGCTGCTAGCTGCCTGCTTGGCAAGCAGTTGAAGTCTGTTTTTAAAATGCTCTCAGAGAGCAGGGGTCATTAACAGGCTTCCTCCCGTTCATGCCTCTCTCTGCCTTAAATCACTCCCTAGAGCTCCCTCAGGTTTTAGACATGTACACCAAACAACATCAACCAAAACAAAACAGCTGTAAAAAGAATGTCTCAGATAGCCCAGAAAAATGTTATCACAGGATTTCCAACATGTTTGTTTTGTGTTCAGTGGAAATTTGACCTTGGACAGGCATGGGCACTGAAACTGTGCTTGCTGGTGCTGTTTACAATAGTCGTAAGAGTAGATGTGCAGATGTGCATCCCGTTAAAGACACAGTCATTTGGGGCCCCGCTGAACTCACCCAGTGCATCCCACCTAAGTGGTAAAATAAATCACCGCTGCATTCTTAAGCTGCTGGTCTATTAGCTTGTCACTGTCTTTAAGCGTTCCCCAGGGAAAGAACCCATACTAAGTTGTTACACACAGGACTCTGCATGCTCCAGAAAAGCTGGAGGTGCCACAGGTTTGAAAAACAAAAAACAAAAAACAAAAAACCAGACACAGAATCAGGGGATCAATCAATGAATTTCATGGCAATCACCTCCTACTCTGTGGAAACATACATTACTTCCTCCCTCGCCAGCTCAGCTTCCCTTTTGGCTATCTCCTCCTCAGTCCAGATTCAACACTTTCTGCATAGGCTACCTTTGATTTCCTCTTTCCCCTTGAGCCTTCCTCCTGCATCCTTGTACAGTAGGGTCCATCTCATACTCTGTTACCACCTGTGTGTGGTAATTTCAGTAAGAATGGCCCTCATAAATAGACACACACATTCAAATGCTTAGTCACCAGGGAGTGGAACTCTTTGAAAGGATTAGAAGGATTTAGAAGGTGTGGCCTTTTTGGAGTGGGTGTGGCCTTGTTGGAGGAAGTCTATCACTGGGGGTGGGTGGGTTTTCAGTGTTCAATAGCCCACGCCACACCCAGTCTCTCTCTCTCTCTCTCTCTCTGCTCTCTCTGCCTACTTGTTCTTTCTCTCACTACCAGGATCATTCCTCCACTGACATTAGAGCCTACTTCTGCAGGATTCTGGCATATACTGAAGACTGGGTTAGCCATCTGTCACTCTAACTTTGTCTAACCATCCTACCACCAGGCTTTCTTAGTCTACTCATCAAGTTTCCTTCTTTCCCACATAATCCATGATGTGGAGAGAAGGCCACATGGAGCAACCAGAAAAGGACTGGCCAGTGACAGCCTCATTCAGAAAGCATTTCCAAGCAGAAAAGCTGTGGCTTTCTTCCACCCAAAGAGTAGAACAGCAAAATGGCGGAGCCAAACAAACCAGTTAGCCATCACCCCACACCACTGCTAAGATGCTGTTATTTGCAGGGCAGGGACTGTTCAGTGAAAAAGGACATGCAGTGTGGCTCCTTTTAACCACTCATTGCACTTCCGACCACGCACACCTGGGACTGGACACGGACTGATCTGGACTGCCTTCATGGCATGCTTGGGAAACACACACACAGTGGCTCACCCTAACAAAATGAGGACTCACCAGGATGGAGCCCTCTTACAGCCCGTTGTTATATGTAGGCAGTCTTCACTGTCGTTACAGTGCACTGAGCAACACTGTACGATTTCTTACTCTGGTCTTTCACCACCTAACAAAATACCCCACTTCCCAGGGGCCTTTCTATTCCCTGGGGAAGTCCATGAGATTTTCTTTCTTGGAATTCCCTAAGGGGTTTCCCCTTCTTTAGGCAATGTGTCAAGTCTCTCGTTGAAACTGGCTATGGACTGCATACACCCAAACAAAAATTCTCTGAACTCGAGTATTTAAAGCTATCTTTTCAGGAAAGCTTCTAGAAGCTTTTCAAAGGCAATTGTAATCCAGCTTTTCAATATGATTTGCACAAAAGCCAGCTCATTGGGCCAATGACCTTTTATTTTATTTATTTTTCCTTTGAATATGAGGTCTTTCTATGTAGCCCTGGCTGTCCTGAAATTTGCTATGTAGATCAGGCTGGCCTAGGACTCAGAGAGATCCATCCACTTGTGCTGGAATTAAAAGTGTGGACATCATAAACTCAAACTTCCCAGCTCAGAGCATAACTCTGCTGTAAGGAAGCATGTGGTTTCTAAAAAGACACGGTGACCCTCTGGGTCCCTGTAAAAGATTCCTACAAGCCCCTTCCTTTTCATCACCCAATCATCAAGCAGTGTCTCCTCTCTTCCTTCCATGAACCCTGCCACCAGACCACTGGGGAGGCAGAGCGGAGCTGCTTCTTGGCTTCTGGCCTCTTTTGATCATTGAGTGCGTGATAATGCTTTATCTTTCTGCAGAACCCCGGTGTACAGCACCGGCTTCTGCTCTTGTCAGACAGGGAGCCCTTCCTGGATATCATTGTTGTCAAGATTTTTCCACTGCTATTTGTGAGCTTTAGTGAGCTCACATCACATTTTGTTTCCTTCTTAGAAATTGCAACCTGTACTAGTCGTTGATGGCTACCAGAGGGCATGGTGGTGATGAGAGAGTACAGAGATGCAGTCAGCTGGTCAGGTTTCCTCCTTTGAGGCTATGGTCAATGTGTGAGCTGGAGCTGGATTCTCATCGGAAAGCTCAGCTGGGAAGGGTTTGCTTCTCCTCACCTCTGATGCTTGACAAGATGCAGTTTCTTTCAACTTGATAGACTAAGGGTCTCATTTCCTTACCAGATGTTGGTTGGAGGTTGCCTGATGGGTGGCACACCCCAACTCCACAAAGTAGGAATTTCTGTGCATGAGACTATTCCATATCCTACCTTATACATCCCTTTATCTGACTCCATGTTTGTAGTTTTGAAAATATCTTTTGTAATTAGTGGGTACGTGTATGTAAGGTGCTTCCTTCAGTTCTGTGAGCTGTTTTAGGAGGTTAATTGAACCCAGAGAAGGTATCATGGGAACCCCAATTTATAGTTGGTCACAACCTGAAGCTCGGCACTATCATGTGAAGTGAGGCAGTCTTCTGAGACTGAGTCCTCCATCTACGAGGCCAGATGCTTCCTCCAGATGGCCAGGTCAGAATCAAACCTGGGGCACAGCTGCAGGCACAGCTTCAGGCAAAGCTGGAGTTGCTGGAGAACTGAACTGACGACATGTTGTGTGTAGAAACAGCACCTCACACTTGGGGGAGTCACATGCGCTGTGCTGAGCACAGTGCGTGAAGAAGCGAGAGAGCACTCATCAGCCTTACTCACACCTGACGGCGGGGATTGCACAGAGAGAGCAAGTTTCATGATGTGGAGACACGTAGGGGAGTTTTAGTCCGTCTGTTCCACACGGTGCTTACGCTGAAGAGACACAGGAGTGGAAATGACCCTTGAGCAACACTGGGGTCTTACAAGCCCACAAGCCCAATCAGCCAGGCTCTTTCTGCAGCCCGTTTCAACCATCTGCAACCCTCTGTACCTGGGAGTTCAAGTCTGACAAGGTTTTCAGCAGGGCCCAGCAAACATCAGAACGGCCTGTCTCTCTAACCTCCGGCTATTGCATGTGAGATGCCAGTGTGATTACTGTGGTAGGCTGTGTCTGTGCTGCCAGGTCCCCTGAAATAGTCACTGCAGTAGTTGCTAGAAACTTCTCCAAGTGCCAGATGCTTCTTGGTTCTTTCCATGGGGTCCCTTGGCAGTAACAGAGGTATGCGTGAATTTCCTTCAAGTATAAACTCCTGCACACAGCTCCATCTAAGCACAGGAAGAGATTAGTGCTCTCTTGAGCAGCCAGGCTAATGTCAGGCTAATCACAGGGATGTCATTCTCCAGGTCCCATATGCCTCACCTGCCAACATGCTTGCACCACCATCCAGCTTAAAAAGGTGGAGAGCCACACAGCCTACTTGCCACCATTTTTTTTATTTGTTTGAATTTGAGTACACTTATTTTAAAAACATATTTTATTTTAAATTATGTGTCTATGTGTAGGTAGGTGAATACGAGTGCAGAGGTTAGAGGTATTGGATCAACTGGAGTTGGAGTTACAAATGTCAGCTGCCTATAACTTGCTTATTAGGAACTGAACTTGAATGCTCTGAAATGTCAGCACACACTTCAAGTGTGGACCTACCTCCCTAACCCCCTCAGATATACTTATACATTGCATTCTCTCAAGCTCACGAAGCCCTACCATTTACTTCCTACTATTTCATATTTTTCTTCTAGTGGACTGGACCCTGAAAATGTATTTGGCAGCCTTTACAGAGAAGCATGAGATGAAAATCTACTTGATAATCAACTGACCACAGTGAGAAGCTGTGGTTTTCACCCTTCTCCTGTTTACCCCTTCCTAGTCCTGTGATGGGATGGTTAATTTTATGTGTCAACTTAACTTGCCCATGGTGTCTAGATGCCACTGTGAAGATGTTTCTTCATTGTGATTAACATTTCCAAGATCTCAGTGGACTCTGAATCCAGCAGATGATTCACATAACACACCCCATCCTCTAAAAGCTGATGGCCCTAAGAATAAAGACCATTTTCCTGAGCACTATGTTTGGATCTGGAAAGGCTCAAGTGCAAAAGGCTTCTTTACCATCCTATCATCCTATAGGGAGGTGACGGAAGCCTTAGGAGGTGAGACCTGGTGGGAGGAAGTTATGTCATTGGGAGTGTGTCTTTCAAGGAGGATATTATGACTCCCATCTCCTTCTTGTTTCTCCCTGCTTTCCAGTCTCCAAGAGATGAACAGACCACCTTTTGCTGAGCATTCCTGCCATGATCTACTGTCCTGTCGCAGGTCCAAGCAGTGGGGCTAGGAGACTAGTATCTGGTTATTCTGACACCATCAGACCCAGACCCGATAAGCCATTCTTCCTGGAAAGTTGATCTCAGCTAATTTGTTACAATGACAGAAGAATGATTGACATGCCAAAGAAAGAATTCTTCATCAAAACTGTCACAGGAAAAGCTGTCAGTAACCAACCTGATGCCTTGAGGAATTTGGATTCAAGATGACAGTATCAACTGTTAACCTAAATCTCCAAATTTAGGTTAACAGACGGGTAATCTTAGACTTGCCAGCTTTCACAAACTTGTGAGCCAATTCCTAACAGTCTTTGTCTCTGTATTTCTGTTTCTCTTGTGCACATGCGATCACCACCACCACCACCACCACCTCCATCCTCACCACCACCACCATCATCGTCATCACCACGATCACCATCATCACCACCACCACTACCATTACCACCACCACCATCATCACTACCTCTAGCCTCACCATCACCTTTCTCTACTTATGTAACCCTAACTCTACATACATCTATATCTATCTACATCTTGAAAATTCATCCATTTGGAACTGCATTCAGAGAGAGAGAGAGAGAGAGAGAGAGAGAGAGAATGGGTGGGGACCATATCACTAAGCAATAAGCACCTCTCCTCTTACAAAAACTTCCCTTTGTGAGCTGATTGCATCCTCACAAGCCCTCAGAGTAGACACTCATCTTGTACCCATTTTGCAGAAGTAGAGACCAAGACTCAGGGCTCTAATTACTGAAGCCTTGTAGTTAGATACATCTTCCCTTAAAATGTGTGGCTCCCCTGCATAGAGCCCAAACCCCAAGCATCTGAGAGATGAGGGAAATGGACAGGCCATGAGAGAGTTGGGTAAGGATCTCTGCTTGTTTCTACTGAGGAGAGCCTGGCAGGTGAACTGGCCCCATCATCAGGTTGACATACCACCACTGTAGGCTGCTCTCTTCCCCTCTGGATTGAAGCAGCCAGCGAAGATAGAGTGAGTGCTTGGGTCTACACTACACATTCATCCTCCAGATACAGTTGCAGCAATGAGATCATGCCCCTATATCTTGAAGGAAGCTGCATTTGCTAGGAGGTGGATACCACCAAGGTCTCATATCAAATCCTTTCAGAGACTTCAATGCAATAAGGTACTGAATCTTATTGTGTCCCAGCCCACCAGGAAATCACAATTAACCAGTGATAGGAGCAGTTCCTGCTTTACCTAGGAGTAGAGTTAGAACAGAAAGTGAGTAAATAACTTCACAATAAGCTAAATTTCTATTCTGAAATAGCTTTACGTCTGGGGTATTACTCAGCGGTTTAGCTCCTCCCGTCTGTGCTGAATATATCCACAGTGCGGACTATGATTCCAGGACAGCCAGCTACAAGAGAGTGAGAGATTAATTGCGTGACACAGCCCAGAACCCTAACTATTCCACTGACCCGCACCATCTCAATTTATTAGTTCAAGAGTTATGAGCCCTGCTTCCTTACCTATAAAGCCAAGGGATGATGGGCCAGATGTGGGGGCACATGCCTTTAATCTAAGCACTCGGGAGGCAGAGGCAGGCGGATTTCTGTGAGTTCAAGGCCAACCTAGTCTATATATCTCAATATATAGGGAGACTCTGTCTCAAAAACAAACAAACAAACAAAAAATAAACAAGAAAAACACAAAACAAAACCAGGCAATTCGCCTAATTGTGTCATTCATGATGGATTGCTATCAATCATGTCCTGGCCACATTCCTGGCTCTGTTTTAAACAGAGGAGAGGAAGAATCCGGATTCATACTCAGCTGAATTGAGTAGAAAAGTCCCAACACCCTATGCTAAGAGGGGTGTGTACATGTAATTTGCTGAGAACTCAGCAGCATTAGTTAGTCAAGTGCCCCCAGCTTATGAAAGCTTCCTTGATCTTTCATTCAGACTGAAAGGCTCTTTCGTTGATCTTGACACCAATCCCTTTCTACTCAAAGATCCTCCACAAATTTCTCAATCATTTCACCTCTTTAGATTTGTTTTACAGTACCCATGCCAGGGAGGTGGAGCCTCTTGGTGGCCTCAAACGTGGTGAGTTGAAGCATTCTCATTCTCTGATATCTTCTCTGGCTATGAATCCATTTCTTCTACTCCCCTTGCCTACCTCTAATTCTTCACGTCTTCTCAGTCATTTTCCCTTTCTAATAACCTTTCCTCTAGGTGAATGTCCAATGCTGAGCCTGTTGGCTGAATTGGTACTTGCTTTTTCGTGATGACTGTTATAATTCCCGAGAGCCTACCCCATCCCAGATCTCAACCCTCTCCTTTTTGTCTCCGAGTCAAGGGAGTACCAGCATCCTTTAAGTCTGATGTTTTTCCTCAGCTGAACTGAAGTGGGAAGCAAACCCCAGTGCCCTCTTCCAGCCGAAGATTTCCCGACTAGTGACTGAGTATTAGATTATTTCTTGTCTGAGCCCATTCATGCTGCTCTAACAATTAGCCTAGAGCCTTCAACAATAAACATTTATTGTGTCAACAATGAAATATATTAGATGCCATCTTTTCACTGAGGGAAGAGGATTAGTCTTCCTGAGCTCTTTGCACACTCATTGCTGAGGATGTAAAATGAGATGTGTTGGAAATAAGGAAGCTTGCATTAAGTGTTGACCTATAGTCAGGAGGTAGCTCTCTCTCTCTCTTGACTTGCTTCCCTCCCCACAAATATGCTTCCTTTGGCTTCCCTCACTCAGAGAGATCCCTGTGGTCTCTGTTGAAATGAGTCATGCCTCAGTTCTTAGTCTTTTTCACCTGCAGAAGTCATCCTTTGTAAATGTATCTTGTACCCTAAACTCTAAGACTCCAAATATTAGGGCCTTTTGTTATCCTGTCATACAGAATAGCAGTAAAGGAAATGCTCGTACAGGAGAAAATCAACAGATAGGCATAGGAACTTCTAATTCTCATTTACTAAGGCAAAGAGCAGTTCCAGAATGTTCTAGGCTAGAGCAGCTCTGCTTCTGGGATACAAAGAGAGAGCAGAAGGAAGGGTCTAAACTTAACTCTTCCCTTCCTAGAAAGGCCCAAAAGAGTGATTCTCAGAGCCTGGGGCTGGGGAAAGGAGTGTGTGTCATCTTCTCCTGTCTGAACTTACAAATGAGAAGGGAAATAACTAAACAGGGCAGAGAGAAAGTTGCTCCATATCCTCCACGGTCCCTTCATTTGGCCTTGATTTCCTTAGACTTCTAACCAAGCCTCCTTGTGTCTTTTAAGTGAATGTCCCTCACTGAAACTCCCGAGAAGTGAAAGAAATATGAGAAAGAAAAACTAATTTAGAAAATAAGGAAGGAATGCTGCCTCCTCCATGGCAGGTTTCAGGAAACCCCATAAACCCTTTCCCGAAACCCTCCCTTTCCTCTTTTTGTTTAAGGTTCGATTCAGCAAAAAGAGAAATGAACCAAGACAAGGAGAAGCCTATGGCTCATGCTTAGGAACGCTTCCTCCTCTCTGTTCTTTCTTGACTGTCAGGGGATAAAGTGGCAAATGGTCACCAGTGTGTGTAAGAGCACACGCAGTCACAGCTGCAGGCTACCCTTTTCACGGGCCTGCAGGTATGTTTAGTGTAGAAGTTACTTTGTAGATGGTCATGCCCCCAAGATCCCATATGTAAAATAGAAAGCATGGGAAAACCAGTACATACCATAAAAACAACCTTTAAAACATCTCCTAAAAGCCTCTTTGATTTGTGCCTGGTGAGTCTACCCTAGTAACAACTATCCCCTCCCAAATAAAAGGACACAACTGACTTGTAGTGTATATCAGTGACAGTGGATACCGAGAGAACAGGAAGAACTTACAGAGAAAGTCACCTAGGGAATGAGCTTTCCCTCTGTCTTCCA